TCCTGTGTAGCTCGCAGGGTCACTTAGGCGCGCAAGCCATCATTCCACGTCAAGGTGCAGTCTCGTCGTGATGGCAATATATAGTACATCGCTAAATCGTGAATAACGGTAAAAGTACTTTGCCATGTCAGATAGCAATTGATTCCCTTTGGCAGTATCGAGGCCATTTTGTTGTATGGTGCGAATCGTCACCTGGGCATTGACCGCATCTCCGAATCTATTATTTTTGGAAATCACGAATTATGCTCATTGATTAAGAACACAATGCAGGCAAGCATATGTTTTCGGTGAATTCCTTGTCAATCCTTTGCAATCACATAGAAAACAATTTCAATAGAATCCACAGAAAGGTGGATGAGCCACGCCACACCCGTCGAGAGCAACACGCTTTCGGTCGTTAGCGACCGCAGAGGTGATTACCATCTGACTGCAAGCTCTCAATTTCCTATGGTCAAGGGAAGAGAAAATCACTTGATCATATGTCCATGTCATAACATACCGAATTTGGGCTACGTAATCCGAACGGGCCCATTACCAGACACATGATTCATCCACTCTTCTGTTTGACTCTATTGAAATTGTTTCATATAAATGTAATCCAAGCCTGGTGCTCTAAAGTGGTTGTAAAGGCTTGAAAAGTAACTCACCGAAAACATGTTTGCCTACATTGTGTGGTCCTTCGTATGCTGATGAGTCTGCTCATAATAATTTTAAATGTTCATCAAATTCGGCGGCACTGAAACGTTATTTAATGACTTCGTCTTTTGCATCAGTCAATCAAAGGATGTGTCCGGGGCAACTATTATCTGCTGTATATTCTCATCAACTCTATATTTATGTGTATGATTCTTACCGAAATAAACAACACTTTCTTCCGCCATAGTGACCTCTTTATTCAGTTTTGTTGTGGAAAAGATATTGCTGAATGCACTAAGTGATCGTCAAAATGCAATGTAACACTGCTAGACTGAGTATCGACTTGCCCTGCTTTGAAACTAGATGGGCAGGGATTATCTAAATCTGCTTGCTTCTCTTACCCAGGCAGTTGAATGACCAATAAGAGTGGCTCCGTAAAGTAAACAGCCGCACTCATTTCTAAGGGTCGAGCAGCTTACATAGGATTGAATCACCTTTGGCGACGACGTGACATTTCGCTGAAAGTCGTGCATATTAAGTCACCGTTCGGTCGGTTCGACTTTCGCCTATTGATGCTTACGTAGTCCGGCACAGGTGGGATAGAGTGAGCGTGTTTGTAACCTAGAGGTAAGCCGTCGTGTGTTTGAAAATGAATCGAGGAAAAATTTACTGTCACATTGGATTCAGATCAATAAGCTTATCTGGTTGAGACATGTTTTGCGTATACCATACGGTCACTTACCGCATTGCGCCTTTTTGTATTTTCCGCTCGGGGC